CCTCCTCCTCCTCCTCCTCCTCCTCCTCCTCCTCCTCCTCCTCCTCCATCGTTGGTGCCTCCTCCTCCTCCTCCTCCTTCTTCGCAGTCCTCCTCTTTGTCTTCCTCCTCGTCGTTCTCCATCTCCACGGCCTCCTCCTCAGATTCTCCTTCTTCCTCCCCGTCCAGCCAATCCTTGTCCCGCTACTCGTCTTTTGTTTTTGTTAACGGCCTCCTCCTTCCCCATTTTTTGTTTTTGTTTTTGTCCGATGATCGATTGGTTGATTGATTGATTGATTGACTGAAAAAAGAGTGGGCAAAAAAAAAAAAAAAAAGGGGGAGGAGGCCACGGCGATGGTGGAGGAGGAGGCGGAGGAGGTGGAGGAGGAGGCCACGGCGATGGAGGAGGAGGAGGAGGGAGAGAACTTAAAGGATGAAGAAGAAGAAGAGGAAGAGGAGGAGGAAGAAGTAGAAGTAGAGGAGGGGGAAAGTGTAAAGATAGATGAAGGAGAAGGAAGAAGAAGAGATGTGGAGGATGAAGACGTGTGCGTAACTTGGCGAGTTTGATATGAGTCTGTCTCTTATACACATCTAGATGTGTATAAGTCGTCCTCCTTCTCCTCCTCCACCATTGTCGGGGCCGCCTCCTACTCATTCTCCTCCCCATCCTCGTCGTCTCTCCTCCCCCCCCTCCTCCCCCCCCACCCCCCCCCCCGCCCCCCCCACCTCCCCCCTCCCCCCCGGCGGGGGCCCCCCCCCCCCCCCCCCCCCCCTCTCCCACCGCCGCTGCCGCCGCCTCTTCCTCCTGCACCCCTGGCGGGGCCTCCTCCTCCTCCTCCTCCGCCTTCATTTTCACCCTCCTCTTCGTCTTTCTCCTCGTCCTTCTCCATCGCGATGGCCTCCTCCCCCGCTTCCTCTTCTTCCTCCTCGTCCCGCCAATCCCTGTCCCATTGTTATCTCCTCCTCCACCATCGTCGGGGCCACCTCCTCCCCCGCTTCCACCGCTGCCGCCGCCGCCTCTTCCTCCTTCCTCCTTCTCCTTGCCCTCCTCTTTGTCTTTCTCGTCGTTGTTCTTCATCTCCTCCTCCCCCGCTTCTTCTTCTTCCTCCTCGTCCCACCAATCCCTGTCCCTCTACTCGTCGTTCTCCTCCTCATCCTCACCGAATCGATAACGTCTCCTCCTCGCGTGCTTTTTTTTTTTTTTTTTTTTTTTTTTTTTTTTTTTTTTTTTAATCCGATCAATCAATCAATTAATCAATCGATTGAAAATCCCATCGCATTGATTGATTCGATAGGATCTTGACATATGACATATCAAGATCCTATCGAATCAATCAATTCGATGGGATCTTTGATCGATTGATTGATTGATTGAAAAAAGAGTGGGGAGGGCCGGCGGAGTGATCGGGTGACCAACCACTTCGGCCCCCTCCCACTCTTCCTCGTCCTCCAACATCGCAGGGGCCTCCTCCTACTCATTCTCCTTCCCATCCTCGTCATCTCTCACTCCTCCACCTCCCCCCCTCGCTGTCACCGCTGCCGCCGCCGCCTCTTTGTACTTCACCCCCGGCTGGGCCGCCTCCTACTCCTCGTCCTCCTCTTCTTCTTCTCCTTCCTCCTCCTCCGCCTCTTCTTCTTCTTCGTCCTCCTCCGCCGCCGTGACCTCCTCCTCCTCCACCTCCTCCTCCTCCATCGTCGGGCCCTCCTCCTCTTCTTCCTTCTCCTCTTCTTCCTCCTTCTCCTCCTCTTCTTCCTCATCCTCTTCCCACTCGTCGTCCTGCTCGTCGTCGTCCTCCTCCTCCTCCGCTTCTTCTTCCTCCTCTAAGTTCTCTCCCTCCTCCTCCTCCATCTCCGTGGCCTCCTCCTCCTCCACCTCTTCTTCCTCCTCCTCTGCCTCCTCCTCCTCCTCCTTCTCCTTCTCCTCCTCGTCCTCCATCGTTGGTGCCTCCTCCTCCTCCTCCTCCTCCTCCTCCTCCTCC